ATCAGAAACAGATTAGTGAATTGCTCTTTTATTGAATATTCTTCTACTCATTTCAGTAAAAATCCCTAGTTAACAACCTTTAGAGAGAATATTTTTATAAATTCTCAGCAGGCCTTACTACAGGTTAAATTTTTCATTGCAGGAAGAGATTAACTGAATTGAACAGTTAAGCTTCCAAGACAGTTCCAGATTTACTAAGATTACTGTTCCAAACCATTTTCATTTGCTTTTCCAGCCATTTATCCATATGAAGTTAAGTAACACTAGAGAAAGAACCCCAGAAAAGTATATCTAATTCACTATTCCTCTGGAGAATTAAAATGAAAGCATACGACATTCTTGTCACTAATAACAACTAGTACTGTATAAAGCCAGATGATAGACTAGTTTTTAAATTACAACTGGTCCCAGCAAGAAGTATTACAGACATCAACTAAACCAATTTTTCATTTCTAAGCAAAAAGGAAATACACATTAGACTTTAATAAATTGACACGTTATGTCCAAAGACTTACTCTACAGCAGAATTTGGACAAAAAGTTGTTCATGTGTCTAAAGGGAGATGTTTGCACTGGCACAAACTTGAAATAAAGGAAGAACAATCATACAGTTTTCCAGTATTTTTCTGTTTTCCTTTGCCAATTTTGCATATATTTGTATTTTGTACACTTAAGGAAGCAACAGAAAAAATCCAAATCAGCTAGATAGAGAAAAATATCTATTTTATTTCTAAAACGTTAGATACCAGAAAGATTGTTTAAGCAAGAAGCAGAGAAGCCCGGATATCTGGGATGCTGAAAGAAGCCTGGCCTACCTGGTAAATTGTTTTTGCTTGGTCTGATATCATCTCATAAACCCATAACAGATAAAAGCTAATGCTAAAAAACCTTTGAATAGCTGTAAGTTGGAGCTTTCCAATACTCTAGAGAAACATTTTCTAATCTTGGAGGTTTGGAAGAAGTCAAATCTTAAAATTCCATTCTGATTATGTTTTATGCCCCACCTCCCAGCCCCCCATCCAAGTTCAGTTCTGATCTGATTGCAGTGATTACAAATCTCATTAATCAATCTCCTATGCCATATCTCTGAATACCTGAAAATCTGTTTTTAAAGTACATGAAACATTAATCTCTCTATATAGGAGTTCATGAGCAGAGTCACTGCTAAAATCAAGCAGGAATTGCCAAAGAGGTAGAAAGTAGGTTCAATAAACTGATTCTAAAGAGTGGGTATCATTGAACAAAGTATTTCCCCTTCCCCACTGTTCTTTTTGATTGAGTGAAAGTCATATGAAACTTTTCAGCAATTTCACAACACCCAAATGTTAACATTTGTACCCTGAATGTGATTCTCCCAAAGTCTGAAGCTATTTGAGTCTTAGAGTCGGTTTATAGTATAAGAATCAGATTGAGGGCAGCCAAAGAACTACTGATCAAAGCTTCATAACATTATGACTGCAAGCTTATCCTATAATGTTTTCTTTTAAATTTTAAATATGTGCTGTATTGATCCTCTTGCTGGCCCGCCTCTCAAGGAAGATTCCCCTTTTATTTTTTGCCCCTTTGAGATTTTGCTTACCATCTTCAGGCCACTTCAGGAGACCCAAAAACATGTCCCAGAGTGAGACTGGAGTTCAAGAATGGAATCCCCGGAATCAAGACGCTCTGGGACAAGTTTTGTCCATTTCTACCGCATGGGATCCACATGAGCCACATCCACCTATATATCTTACTTATTTGGACCCCATCACTGTAGTATCTGAGCAACTACACTCTTTAATGTATTTAGCCTCACATCATCTCAGTCAGGTTTTCCACATTTTGCAGATGGTGAGCCAAGGCACAGAGAAACTAAGTGACTTGCCAGGGCCACACAGGATGTTTGTGATGGAGCAGGAATTGAATCTGCATCTCCCATAGCATTGGTTAGCACTCTAATCACTAGAACATCCTTTTTCTCTTCTCTCAAATGGGTTTGCTAGAGGCCCTTTCCTGAGATATTATAAGGGGACCCTTAGGAGGCCTGATATAGAGGTGACAGGACTGGGGATGGGACTAAGAGTAAAGGCCCCTTACTAAACATTCTGGCATCCATGTTGTGCTCAAAGCCCAAGAGCACCACAATCAGGAGTGGTGGTTGCAGGTGTGAGATCTAGACACTTCTAGCGTACTGATGTTCTGGCACTGCTCTCCTGAGAAAGGGGAGGAAGGAGGCACTTGCCTTTGGAGTGGGCTGTTACAGTCCTGCCTGGCTCCTCTTCTGTCTGGGGTAGGGGAAATTACATACCACTGCCCACACTGGGCTTCTAGGATGGTGCCTGCATCTCATCCATCCAAGTCAATCCTGCCTGGTTTTGCTTCTGCTTAGAGAAAGAAGGCCAAGGTGACCCCTGCCTTGACAAGATTGTTGAGAGGGAAAAATGTATCCTACCCCCAGAGGAGGTGAAACTCCCCACTGTGACACTAAGTAAGAAGGGATGAAGTGAAAGAATAAACCTCTCTTTTTTGGCCTAGTTTTCTCCCTAAGCAACTGAAGGGATATCAGCTGCTTCAGTATTTCACAAAAGGAAGCAGGGCTGACAACTTATAAGGCCAACAAACCTGAGACACAGCTGACATTTAGAAGATTAAATTATAGAACCAAATTGCTAATTCAGAATTACAGTTTTTTTAAAAATTTCCTCAGAAAACCTCTTCAGTGCAAAGGTCTGGTTAACTCTGTCTGCTGCTGTTGAAGCAGAACAAAACTAGTGGGAGCTGCAGGGGGCTGAGCATTCCCTTGTTACCAGTGCCTGACAAGACTGATTCTTTACCCCCACATAAGATACAGAGGCTGAAGTACCTATCATGACAGATATGTGGATGTTAGCACAATAAAGGATTTCTAATCCCCACGTCCAAGAGGATTTAAAATAGCCCAAAGAAGTAAAGGAGAAAATAGCAGATTTAGAGTTTGGGGGGGGATTATCAAGTCTAGTCAACTGTAGTGAGCCACTGGAGCTCATCTTGATGTAGATAAAGAAATAACCGATGTCTGCAACACAATGCATATTAAGTTGGATGAACTCATGTGACCTGCCTGATGTTTCTGGGAGAGGGAAACAGTCAGACAAGCATTTCTTTAACATTTGTATAATTACTGAAGTTTTATATAATTAACATTCAACTACAAAAATATCAAAAATACACTGGTAGGCACTAACCCTGCTTAAAGCTGCTCTTTAAAATCAAATAATTCCAAAAAACTGGTGAAAATATTTGATCATAGCCATAAAAACTATATCCATTAAGCAAATATATAAATCAACCAGTAAAGATTTCTTAGAAACATAGGAAGGCAAATTATTCATTATAAATCTCTATAAATCACCCATTTTATTTTTTTATATTTTGTAGCACCAATTTAATAACCTAGTCACTTCAGTGTAATCAAAGTGATAATATATGCAATAGAAATCAGATTCCACAACAGCTAAAACAGATTCCAGAAGTTATGCTTACCTCTGCAGTTAGTGACTGATGACTTTTCATTATTAAATTTATAGTCAAATGTTTAGTTCTTGGAAAGCACTTCCAGGAGTAACAGTCTCTAACTGCTTCTCCATGAGCCAACCATTAAATCTACACAACATCTCCAAGAAAACTGATACTCTATGTAAAATCTTAGGAGCACTTGAGAGGTTTAACAGGAATTTTTCTTCTTAAGTAGAAAAGTTATTTCTTACTATATCAGAGATGGGCAAACTACGGCCCACGGGACCGTTCTGCCCGGCCGCTGAGCTCCTGGCCCGAGAGGCTAGCCCCCGGCCCCTCCCCTGCTGTCCCCCCTCCCCTGCAGCCTCAGCTCACTGCACCACTGGCACAAAGCTCTGGGGGGTGAGCTCCTTGGGCAGCACAGCTGCAGAGCCCGGTCTGACCCGGCGTTCTGTGCTGAATGGTGCGTGGCTGGCTCCAGACGGGCAGCGCAGCTACCTGTCATGGTGCAGCCGCGCCGCCAGCTGCCGGTGCTCCAGGCAGCGCAGTAAGGGGGCAGGGAGGTTGGATAGAGGACAGGGGATTTCGGGGGGTGGTCAGGGGCTGGGGGTGTGGATGGGGGTGGGAGCGGTCAGAGGGCAGGGAATAGGAGGATTGAATGGGGGCGGGGGTTCCGGGGGTAGTCAGGGAGAAGGGGTGGTTGGATGGGGCAGGGGTCCCGGGGGGGGCAATCAGAAAGGAGAGGAGGGGTTGGATGGGGCGGTGGGGGGCAGTCAGGGGCAGGGGTTCCGGGGATGGTCATGGGACAGGGAGAAGGGATGGTTGGATAGGGTAAGGATCCCGGGGGGGGGG